GAGCTATAAACTTTTTTTGCACTCACATACAATATAGTTGAAACTCTCCCTTTAATAGCTTTACCAAGTGCTTTTATAGAGAAAAATCTTAGGCACATAAGAAGCAATTGCTTTAAGAATACTTCAATATAAATGCAAGGTTAAATCTGCAGGAAGCCATTGTGACACATGCTTTGATTGAAGTTGTCAATTGTGGAAGTTCACATCGGTGAGAGGAGCCTTTGAACATGTGTTTGGAATTGTTGGGGCCAAATAGCATTGCTAAAAAGGAGGGAGAGGGTTTTCAGTTTTCTAAAATTTTGGAGGGCAGGTGGTGGTTTGGAAAGCTATTAAAGTAGCTTTAGGAAGTTGGCATCACCTATAATAGAATAACAAGAGAGAGAAATATTGTTTTATTACTATTTTATAAAAAAAAATTGTGGTAGTAAACTACTTAAGAAAGTTTTTGTTTGATTGCTTTAAAAAAAAAAGATATTAATAAGACGATAACCTTCCAAAAAAAATTGTTTTCCCCGCAGCAGTTCTAAAATTACATTTACAAAAAGTTGCAGATGCCCCAAAGCAGGCCCTTAATCAAGTAGCTAGGTTTGTTAGAAAGCTAATAAGAATTCCTTGAAGCTTACGCAATGTAAGGAGCTTTAACTGCAAGTGAGAAAATACATTGAAGTGGTTATCATCCACCTGAATCTGTAAGGATGTGATTTGGACTTCTAAAAAGGAGGATTCAAAACATGGTGATGGACTACGTATGGAAAACAATTTGCAGTTAACATAAGTTACATATCCATTTTGTAAGCTCCCATAAGATATTCTCACAGTAGTGATTCAGTAGGATTGCTTCTTATTTTATAAACCTGCTAATCTCATTTTAGAGCTCATTATATCATGTAAAATACTAAAATATTCATGATATTTCAAACATTAGTTCTGCTAATCCACGAGTATCTAATCGTATTGTTTTCTAGTCTAATTATAACAATTTTACAGAAATTTGCATTGCATCATTATTTTACAACATCACGCTCACACACACACACCGGAAAAGGCCCCGAGGTAACAGAAGACTCCGGTATGCAGAAACAGAAATCGCTCATAATCATTCTAGGAGCATAACCCCATAGCATTTGCAGTTTCTGAAGGCAATCAAAACTTTGCAACCCAATAAATGAACAATCCTACCTCACTAACGACCAGCAATCGGAAAACAGCCTCTAGAACATAAAGATAACAAAGAGCACGGATACAGAGAAAAATAGGTTAGAACTCACAGAATCGTGCGTCAGGTAAGTGTCGCAGTAGTCGCAGTAGTATCTGCAGAAAGGAAAAGGTTGAGAATTTGTGTACAATAGCTATAATCCTGAAGAGAGAATCCAGATGAAAAAGATTTGAACCACCTAGGCATTCCAAAGATTTCAAGAAAACTCTATGCTCCGCCACAAAAAAGCTCCTAGAGAACAGGTGAGATATGAGAGAAAGGTATAGGGACGGGAAAGCGAGGCCTCTCCGGCGTGGAAATTTCCCTCCGGCGCGGTCTCTTTTGCTCTTCTTCGGAGGAATAGGGTTAAGTTTGCGACGCTAGTAACTACTAAGCCAAGCTGGGGGCTGATCAGATCTCATGCTCACTGACTCACATATTTCAATTTTATTTTTCAGATAAACAATTAAAAATGGTGAGTGCAATACACAAGAAAAAAAAAAGTATGGATCCTTTTTAATTATCTTAAATAAATATCA